TTACATCGACCGTACATCGAAGCTTACAGCACCTGATATTCCCAAGTGGTCACCCACCTAGGATCGACGTTGCTCAATTTCGGTGAGCGTACGGGGACCGTTGTTTCAACATCATGTGGCCGTTATCCTTTGACTGATGTTCACACTGTTACTAGGCACAAGCGCCACTCATGGTAGAGGGGTTAATGGAGTCTATTGTTGTTTAACTTTTTATTTACATTTGGGTGTACTCAACGCAAGTATTCAATTTTTGGCAAACTTGGACCTTCGTGTCCGAAAAAAAATGGTCAAAAGGATGGTTTTTCGACACCTCTAATATTTTAACTTCCTTCATTCCTGGGTAATGTTTGTTGTTTTAAAAAGCGATGATTTTAATTGTAATAAAGACTAAATATATGAAAGTGAATTCATATATATTTTTTGTTCGTAAGAATTGACAACGAAAATATTAAATAAATCCTATTTATTTATTAGTTTATCTATTTACAAGAATAATTTATATATTACATCATTCTAAAAACTAATACAATTAAATGCGAGGCAATATTTATCATTTAACAATTTATAAAGAAATAAATATGAAAACAATTTTTTATTCATAAATTTATAAACATTTACTAAATTATTAAAATATGTGAACCAGCTATGAGGAAATCTTTATTGTTGACTATTTGCAATTAGCCAATGTTTTGCCAACCATTCCAATAAAGAATCTAATAGTGTTTATTAATTTTGTTGGCAATACCCAAGAACAAAAAAAAATGTATAAATTCACTTTCATCATATGTTTAGGTTTTATTAAAATTCTAATCATCCTTTTTGTTATGGTCCAAGTTCCTTGTACCACGGTGATGGTCCAAGGTTAGAACCAATGAAAGAATAACACGAACACAGGTATGGAATACAAAGATATATTACAAGAGAAATATAATACAAAGAAATAGAAGTATTAGTAATGACTATCAGATTTGGTTAGAGTGAAGTATGTTGTCTCGACAAGTATCACTATTCCAATGTCCTTACAATATGCTCTCAATTATCTCTCCTCGTCTTACAATAGCGATTTTCTAAGCGCTGCTTAGATGTGGCACAAGGCCGGAAGTATGGAGCACCCAGTGATCTTCGTCTTACAATATCCTCATACCTCTTGAGAGGCGCAGTATTTATAATGTCAGGAATAGTCCATTATTATTATGGGTAAGTTCCCATAACACTTTTTTAAAAGAATAAACATTACCAAGGGAATGAATATAGTTAAAACAAAAGCGGTATCAATGGAAAAACTGTTCTTTTGACAGACTGTTTTTTGACAGCCACGAATGTCTAAGTTTGTCCAATGTTTTTGATGTATCGAATTCTTAAACCCCTACTTCATTTTTATAAATAAAAAAAAGGAACATTCTTTTACTTATATAAATGATTTTTCCCTATCGCCTACCTTGATGTCGAAAGTATTTTCTACTGCTTGTAGTTAAAAAAATGCCTATTTATTTTCTACTTGGGAAGTCTATTTTGATTTTTCATAGATTATTAAATATTAAGACACTCATTGCAAAACACTTCTTTTTCTATGTGCCGTGTCCCTTCAGTACGTGAACGATCATGGCTCACCACAACTTCCTGTCCTTTGTAGCCCTTAATAATTTTTTTCTTTTTTTTATATCTCCAAATCCCTGTTCTGCCAACCATTTGCGCAAACTCGTTAGGTAGATTGCTTTCCTCTTTCCCTCTTGCCTTCAATATGTCCTCTGAGTGTCAGATTTTCCAAGCCTTCTTTTATTATATGCCCTTAATTCTTTATTAATGAAATACATTAACGCTAACATTGCATATTTGTTTTATTTGCAGGCGGTGCTAATTTTATTGCTGTGTGTTACGATCGTTATTGGTATAATATTTTGCATATGTATGTGGTAAGTTATTTTTTCGTGTTCTGTTTATAAGCTTGATTGTTTTTTTTTGTTTTTTTTACAGACAGATGTTGTTTATGCTTGTATATTAAGTCGGGGTCTTGTACACGCGGACAGATTTTCATATGGCCCCCTGTAGGGCATATAGTGATTCACTAAGCGTAGCTTATGAGGATCGAACCCACTAATCAGTTGTAATTGAATAACCGAGGCAAGTCTGATCACGACAATCTTAACCTCTTCAAGTCAAGTGCCAATCGTTGTCTATCTTCCTTATCCTGAAAATATTCCACTTTCTATTTCATTCATATCACACAAATCCGCCATCACAACCATTACTCAAACCTCTACCTTCAGTGACTCTAGCGTTGCACTGGGCTAACTTTTGGTATATATATATATATATATATATATATATATATATATATATATATATATATATATATATATATATATAGTGCTGTTCGATAACAGTGACTCACCTTATCCTTTGAATTTAGATAACTTTCGTTTCATCGGAAAAGAGAACATTCTTCCAGTCTTCTACGGTGAAATTTTTTGTAATAGTAAGCCCATTCAAGGCTCTTGGCTTTGTTGGCTTTGCTTATTAGCAACTTAAACATTCGTGTACAAGATTTGTAGCCTTGTTCTGACGGACTGTTGAAGAGGCAAGACTAACACATTGCTCTTTGCTTAGACTGCCTGCAATTTCTTGGCTTCGCAACCTCTCTTGATTACCCTGCCAGTTCTATCATGAATCTTTTTCTTTCGTTCCCTTGTTTCCTTCCTTGGAGCAGGAGTGGCATCATTATGTGCCCTAAGCACTCAAGAGGCAGTTGATTGCAAGGTTATAGCAATTTCTCGCGTAGACTTTCCTGCTTTTGAGAGGGCAATAATAGATGCCTTAAGTGGTTCTGATGTGTTTGTACCCTTTCATCTGGTTAGTGACTTGAGTGGCTATTTCAAGCTGTTTTTATACTGTATGAGGCTTTCTGGAATATTCTGGAATACTCTAGATTTAATTTAAGCTGTTCTAGAATTCTCTAGAATATTGTTTTGAGTGTATTGTAAAATAGTTTTCAATATTTTGTCAAAAGTTCTTTAAATTTACCATTTTAATCATTAGAATGCGATATCTGAGTCACTTTGTTTGCTTAGAGTTTTTCCTGAATCTCATTTATATCAAATTTAAAATTATCAATAGAATACCTTAGGTGAATAAACTTTTTCCTAGGGAGTCGGAAGGGGTCTTTATATTAGTAAGATTAAAAATTATTTTAACCCCCAAAAAATAGACAAAAAATATTTTTAGTAAAAAAAAATCAGGTGAGTCACTTTTATCGAACAGCACTATATATATATATATATATATATATATATATATATATATATATATATATATATAATACGTTGAGTTTTCATAATAGCAGCATCTGGGAGCTTATATCGGAGATCAAGTGGCAACAAGTCTCTTCAGTACTCCTGCATTTTCCTCAATCCTCTAGCTGATTTTCGTAATACCATCATCAGGATGGTTTCGACACTTCTTCACATTTCTAATCCCTCCAAGTTCCTTTGGCACTGGTTTCAAGTGTTTCAGTTACAAATGACACTTTTATGGTCAGTCATGTATCGAAAGATACATAACTGACGAGGCAGATTTTTTTCCGCAGTAGGTTGCCATTTCTTTCTGCAGTAGACCAGTTGCCATCCTAGACTATAGAACCCGGTTTGAACTGCTATTTACTCAAAGCTGGGGGGTGGTGTGGTGGAGAAGAATAGTATTCGTGCTGTTCCTAAGGGCATTAGCACGTAATGTAATGGATTCGATTGGAATTCAAACTCAGCTCTCCGATTTCTCAATCCAAGCCGCTATCCCTTACCCCGCAGACAATTTTCTTTCATTTCTCTTGCAGGATCCAGGTATTCATTCATCCACTGCTTATTGCTTTCTTTCAATTTGACATCCAATGTACAACAATTTTTCCTTGTTCACTGTAACTATTTATTTATCTCTGAATTCTTTGAATTTCAGTTTCTCAAAGAATGTATATTTTTATTTTCTAAGTTAATGGTTCTTACATAGGGTTATATAAACAAAAAGTTTGCACAATTTATAGAAAATCACTTTTTCTATCCAATCATGTCTATTTTATAACCTTGATCTAATTTTTAGTATTCAATTCTTTATATGAATGTTGGATGTATTTCTGTCTTTTTATAATTGACATTTGACTGCTTATTGCCCATCATGGTTTCAATTCTGGTTAACTTTGTTGTGTCCTTAAACTCTTTGGAGTAGCTGAGGAAATATATCGTGAAAGATTATGTCAGTCAAAATTCGGATAGGAAAAATATCAAGTAAAGTATTAACATTAACTTTGTGAATGTCATTTAAACAATTAACATTAACTTTGTGAATGTCATTTAAACAATTAACATTAACTTTGTGATTGTCATTTAAATCTTTAGAGCAACTGACGAGATATATCGCCAGAAATTCTTCAGGATTGGGTGATGAAATTTCTCATGCGACATTATTTAAGAGCGGACAATGACATATATTTCTAGAAGTTTCTTTTTCTTCAGAGTGACTGACGAGATATCTCGTGATAAATTTGTCTTGGATATTTTAACACTAACAGTGTATGAGATAGTGATTAAATACAATTTGTCAAATCAATGACATTTCGCGGGTATGATATACATAGAGGAATCTTGTGAGAAAATGACATATGAAAAAAAGTACGAATAACTCCACCTGGGTTGTAGAAGGGTGCAAAAATACCCCGATCTCAAATATGAAGAATTAATTGATTTCTTTTTCTACGGCTTATGAACCTTTTGCAGGTTTTTGATAGACAGAAAATATTTTTATATTGTAAGAATTTGTGGGAGGGGAGATAATAATGACTTAGTGGTACACGTCTTACTAATTAACCCATAGCTGGGGGAGAATAGGTAAATTCATATCTTTCCCAAGGGAATTTACGCGAAAGTAAATATAACGAACACGATTTAAACTGGAACTCACCTCTCCGATTACCAATTCTGAGCCTTTATCCATTACACCACCCGCACATCCAAACTAACAGCACCAGATATTCCCAAGTGGTCACCCATCTAGATATTGACCAGGCTCGACGTTGCTTAACTTCGGTGATCATGTGGTAATAGGTGTTTCAACGCTGTATGGCCGTAAGCTCGTGAGAATTTATATCATTGGTTTATTTATATTTGATTAACTTAGCTTAATCCGGTGCAAAGCCAAATAGGAAGAATATGAGTTTGGGAAGATTGTGTTACGCCAATTTTGTCTAACTGATGATGGTGTGATCGTCTCTTGAAACATGATATTTGAAATCTTGCCTTTCACTTGGATTCCTATACCAACATCTAGCACCAGTGGAAAATTTGCATCTCTCTCTGTCACGGGGTAAAATTTATTGTTCAGATCCCATATAACCAGTAAATATTTCTGCATCATCGCTGGTTATTATATTACAGAGATTCTTGTAATATCTTCATATATATATATATATATATATGTGTGTGTGTGTGTGTGTGTGTTATATTTTGCATATTGGCTATTAGCTAGTATCGATTACCTCCTTTTAAAGATCTATCAGGAGTTCAAATTCCAGTCGGGTTCGTTATATTCATTAACGCTCAAATGCACCATGAATCTCCCTCCTCTCTGAAGTTATGGCTTGAATATTAGGAATTGTATTCACTGGAAAGAAATCATTGTTACAATCCTAAATATGGTGATTTTCTAAGCGTAGCTTTGATGTAGGCCGAAAGTATGGTCATTAAGTGTGGATCGAACTCACTATTCAGTCGTAACTGATCTAGCGAGACAAGTTTGTTAACCATTACACTACGGCTAAGCGCTCTATGATTTTCTAAGCGTAGTTTAGATGTGGCACAAGACCGAATGTATGAGGCACACATTGTGGATCGAACTCACTATTCAGTCGTAATTGATCTAGCAAGACAAGTTTGCTAACCATTACACCACGCACAAGTGTTCGTCTTACAAATCTAAATATACTTCAGTTTTAAATATCCCACAAAGGGTTGATAAGCCATAAAGAAAATATCAAGCAATCAATTAAAGATGTCAAGGTAAATGCTTCATCCTTCTTCCCAAAACTGGGTCTTGAAGAAATTTGATAAAATAATCAGATCTTTATTCGCGGATTTCACAACTTGATACGAAAACGAGCATAAGCAAACATTTTTCTGAAAAAAAATATCTCGAAGGGAACAATAATTTTAAATCAATATAACACAGCCAGATTATTATGAGCGCCATATTGTTCCAACATCGCCATTTGCAGTTATCTAACCAGAAAACGATGCTTCGTTGAACGCAAGATACGTGACAACAAAGCAAACCATCTGCCTCTTATGACACAACACTAAATAATCCAGTATTAATTAGTAGTCTACTGAATAAACCTACTCTAATAATAGTCCACGCACAACATCTCTCTTTATTATAGCTTTAAATCTGTCATCTTTTGTTATAAGATTTGATGTTATCAAAGTAAAACATTGTTTATCAGAGATCAAAACTTGATGTAGAATATTACTGCCCTACGTGAAAATTTTGTCAAAATCCCAGCATAACGCTGCGTGTCATGATAAGCACAGTGGGCTTTTATATGCACCGCAGCGTCACTTTGAGGGCGTGTTGCTCTCTCGCTAAATAATAAGAATGAAGTCTTGGCACTGCAAATATTCTGCGAAAGGTGCCCTCTGTTTTAGGTCGTACGACTTGATGGAAGACAACGATAATGCATAATCTTCGGTTAAAACTGAAAGCCATGCGAAAGATAATAACAATAATAATGATCATAATAACGAGTTTTAACCCGTGACATTTTCACGGTTTTCCTATTTTAATATTCTGACGAAACTTAATTTTTAAGTTAATGACTGAGAAAGCTCATGGCGAATTCTATGATAATAAAATATCCTTAGAAATTCTCCTATTGCATCGTTAAATATTTGAGCTTAACAACTTTAAAGAAATATTGCAATAACAATATGAATGTTGGTTGTTATTTTAAGAAGTGGGTACAAATGAAAAGACTTGAAATTGACAACTTTTTCCATTTCACTGAAACAGATATTAAACACTTTTATCTCCTCCTTTTTTTTCTTTCATTCATTTTCTTACTGAAAGCAAGTAGTGTCTTTTCTCCTCTTTCCACGTGGTCAAAACTGAATAGTTCATTATTTATGTGGCATTGCCAGGTAGTAACGGGCGTACAAACTAACGAAGAGATGGATATGCATAATAATAATAATAATAATAATAATAATAATAATGTATGTGTCCAGATCCGATGGAGGCAGAGGGTTAGTTCAACTAGAACTTACAAAACTACAACAATTGATCTTCCAAGGATACCCGGAAGCTACAGAAGACTAGATGATGATCTGTGTCAAAGAACATGAAAGAAATCAGAAACGTTATTCAGTAATAAAGGAAACCAACAAATTTAAAAGCGAATTTCAAGTTGATGAAGAGTTGCAAATAAACCAGCAGCAAAGAACCTAAAAAAGAAAGCAAATGACCGAGCAGCCAGTACCGTTTTTGGTTGAAATTCATAAGATCTGTCTATTAAAATTTTTTTTAGGAAGAAAGGTTTTTCTCAAGTTCAGTAGCTGATATCGCTCTTTCCAATTCTGATGGGGATTTCCTTGCTAACCTTTCATTTGAAGTGGCGTGGAATGTTAATGTTCACTTTTTAAGTCTGCCGTCTCGTCATTTCATTTTATGGTCGTATTATAGTAATGTAATGGTACTATTAATCGTTTCCTCATAAGGAAACATTCTTATATTACTGCCGATTGAAATTTACGAAATCTATCTATTTACATTATTCGAACAGTTGCCCCCATCTTTATTGTCATGTTCATGACGTTTCGGCCATTGAACGCTCCGGCCTTCTTCAGGTGATTGAAATTTCGAACTGAACCCTTTATTTCGTACACCGAGGTAGATTTTTCTAGTTCCTTGTGCCATGCCTCTTCTTAGATGTCTCAGTTATCTCCCTTTAACACAACTCTCCAATTTTTTCTTTCTTTCTTTTTTTTTTTTTTTTTTGAACTTACAACTCTTTGAGTCAAGTCACTAGATCCAACCAACGCTTTTATCCACTGAGACATGTGTTCTTGTGAACATCAGTGTTTGTATTTTTTTTACCGGAGCTCATATTGCAATTTTGTTTTTGCTTTTCTCTAGCACTCCGTATTACTGGATCCCATACTGTATTTATTTGTACGCTTGACCGGCTTAGGAGATTGGTGGGGGAGCTAGCATATGTACTGATTCTTTAAGTTTTCGTATTTTCCAGTGATGTTCTCTGACTATTATTCGTGAACATGACAATAAAGATGAGGAAACAGTCCGAACAATGTAAATAATTAGAATATATCATCACAGAAATATAGCAGATATTGAAATCTTTCTCTTAAAACAATTTTCAGGAAAATAAGTTTAATCGCTCTTTCCAGTATTGATGGTAGTTTCCTTCCTAACCTTTTATTTGTTATTGTGTGGAATGTCAACGTCTTGATTAAGTCATCTTTTCTCCGAGTTATATTTGCTATCTATTTTAGTTGTTGCTGATGTTGGTAGTCCTCAATTGATGTAGTTTCTGTTATTTGGTACAGTTTTTTTGTTTGTAACTCTGTAGCGCCAGTGTACAATGTTCAAAGAAGGATGATTTTCGCCAAGTCCCCCGGGCTTAACTCGGCCAAAGCCTTTTTTCACCAATGAAATTTAGGAAGCGGTTGTAAACAGGTGACAGTTTAGATATTTCTGAACGAGTTTGGTGCCATGTAGGGCATCCCTATGAAAGTTTCAATCTGATGAGGCTATTTAAGGACATGACTCGAGTTTCAGCTAAATGTTTTGGTTTCGTAGAAATTTGTGGTGTTGGGCAAAACTACCTCTAGCACAGCCTTGCAATAAAATTCCTTTTGCCACCAACGAATTTGAAGGTTTAAGATACAGGAATAAAGATTCAACTTAAAATATATTTAAACATTGAACCAAAGGAATTTATTTAGAAAAAATAAAACTGTTCAACTGCTATATAATATCAATTCACGTATATGGAAGTGAAATATGGACAATTTCCTCACAGATTAAAGAAGAGGTTTGAGGAAACGTAAATGTGGTTCCTGGAGGAAAAATTTTAGGACTTTTACACCTACAGGAGGCATCATGATCAATGAATACCATGAACAGAACATATAAGGGTCAAAGTAGAAATCAACATGGAAGTTTTAAGAAAAAATGTTTTGATCTTGTTCTTTTTTTTTTTACAAAAAAAATCAGGGAAGGAAGCTGTAAGAAACTGGTATGAACATCACCCAGACCCGGTTACAGATATAGGACCTGTAACAATTTTATGGGACTTTGCAACACCTACAGACAGAACAATGAAAGCCAATTGTCAAGACATCATGATCAATGACCACAAAAACAGAATGTGTTTTCTTATTCACATGGCAATCCCTGCAGATTGTAATGTATCTTTGAAGATCTTGAAAAAACTATCAAAATATAAGGGTCGAAGTAGAAATCTAAAAATTGTGGCACATGAAGACATCAACAATACCAGTTGTAGGTGGAGCCCTCGGATTGATTGTAAAAGGGTCCGATAGACTCAATGAAGGGATTCCAATAGGCAATGCCTTAAAGAATATAAAAATATATGCTCATACAACACGAAGAGCTTTACCTATGTAAAATGTTTTTGATCTTAGTTTTTACTTGTTTGCTTTTTTTACAAAAAAAAATCAGTAAAAATTTCATAAAGTTTCTTGTTGGGACCCGGAAGGAAATGTGTATACAACAGATATCAAAGGAAATAATAATAATAATAATAATAATAATAATAATAATAATAATAATGATAATAATAATAATAATAATAATAAGCTATCAAAATACAAGGGCCGTGAAATCAAAATCTCAAAAATGTGGCACATGGGAACATCAACAATCCCAGTGGTAGTTGGAGCCCTCGGATTGATTGGAAAATATTCCAGTAGACTAATTGAAGGGATTCCTGGAATCCAATGCCTTAAAAAATACAAAAAATTGTTCTCACGAGTACAGCCCACACCTAACGAAGTGCTTCGTCTATGTAATTTTTTTTTTTTCAGTGGAAAATA